AATTTGACCCAATTCATGCAGGCAGGGCTAATGTGAGGAGTTTGAGGCTGTCTTGCTAAAAAGATAAAGGTTGACACTGAAATGTGCTGATGAAAATGAAGTAAAAAATATGATATTTTTACTGTCATAACACTACAGTCAGAATGAAAATTCTGAGTGTTTACTGATCCTGCTACTAACAAGTCTCATGACCTGGGCCGGTTCTCTCATTGAGTTTCGGTTTCCTCATTTTGCAGCTGAGAATTACTTTTGAGTTTGAGCTGCTTCATGGGATTATAATAAGGATCAAATAATTATTACCTGTTATTGCTTTTGCAGTGGATTATAGAAACACACATTCGATGGAGACATCGAGATGTGCTAGAGGTTCTCAACATTTTCTATTTCCTAAGTTCCTTTAACAAGGGAGCTTGCTACAAATGGAGATGCCTAAGATCTTCTAAACCTGAGTATCTGGGAGTGGAGCCACACTTGTAACTGTAAACAGGTGACTTTCATATACACAAAAAAATCCAGAGCCACCAAAAAAGAAATAACATAAGTATAAATTTAATTTAATTTGATATCTAATATTTAATATCTAATTAAGTATCTGACTTAAAACATAAATTAGTGATTTAATCTAATTAGATGTTTTGCTGATTTGTTGGTGTGTATATATTTTTACATGTGCATGTTATAATTCAATGAAAGAACCCTCTGGTTTACACTGTGAATACAGTTAATACCAGATTAAATAATAGGTAATAATAGGCCATTTAAGTTGGCTAATATTTTCATCCATACTCTCTTTATAACTACATTGCTTTGCTTTATTTCAAATGTTTACTGAGATACACAAGAAGTGAAACCAAATGTTTTCACCTTGTGAATCCAGAGGAGGCCACATGAATAGTAATAACACAGATTTCTGGCTCAGTTAATTATGCAAAACCCCGCACCCCAAAGCGGTCTCCACAAATATTTTGGAAACTTGTTAGGTGTCTCCTATTTACCTATAATCTGGCCTTCTAGCTGCAGTCTCCCTGTGGTATCTACAGTGATCTTTCTCACCAGTTCTGGTCCCCACGATGAATTCTCTTCTCTCTGAGCTATTGGAGAGGTCCCACTCCTGTTACTGCTGACTGGTACCATGTAAGGATGCTTCTGTGGTTTCTATAGTGATCTTTCCTACCAGTTCTAGTCCCTCTGTTGAGTCTCTTCTCTCTGAGCCATTGGAGAGGTCCCACTCCTGTTGCCGCTGACTGCTACCAAGCGAGTACGCTGAAGTCCTTTCTAGGTGTGATGCCTTACAGTGCCCCCGGAACTTCCTGTCCTCACCATGTTGCAGTCCTCGTGGGCTCAGCAAGAAAGCATAGAAACTCATCTCTGTTCTGTGACTCTTGTTGTTCCCTGGGGCAGCTAGGGAAGAGGGAATTAAAGTATCTATTTACTTGGAAGCCATCTGAAAAACAATGATTTCAGCTTTTACCACGAAACCTCAGAAACAAAAAGTCCTTTGAGGGAGAGTGACAGCATTTTACCAGCTTACTTCTTTTGTTTGGTCTTCTATCACTCCTTTTTCCAGGCATGTTCCCATGCTGCCCCTATCTTCCTTACTGAAAAAATAAAATGTTAGACCTCACAATAAATCCTTGGCTGGATCTGGGAAACCCACATACCCCATCAAACACTGCATATTTGTGAATAACTCTTGGAAGGCACTCTGTAACTCAGCAGCAGTAAAATAGTAGGGATGGTTAAAGGGGATAATGTCCTCACAAGTAGCTTTAAGGTAATCATAAAACAGTGAAATACTTTGACAAGACTAATGATGAAAGGTAGCCTGCTAGCTACCCTGCTGTCCCTTCCCTGCCCCCATTTTCCACTGCCCAAATCAATCACTTTCATTTTTTGGAAATTTCTTCTGTTACCTAACTACGTATATTTAACTAATATGCTTATATTGAGAAGTCTTAAATTTTTCTTTTTAGTCTACATATCTTAGGCTAACTTTTTGCAACCAGCAATGGTTATATACCTTTCACTCCACTCCCATCACCACTTTCCAGAAGGGCATCCTCTGTCCCCCCATTTTCCCACAGTTACATGATTTCTGATTATATCAGTATTTCATGTTTACACTATTATGATTATGTAACTATTCCCAGTTGTGCTGTATAGTCTGATTTTCTTTTTATTTATTTGCATTAATTTATGAGTTCAAGTATAATTTTGTTACATACATAGATTGCATAATGCGGAAGTCAATACTTTTAGTGTAGCCATCACTCAAATAATATACATTGTACCTATTGAGCAATCTCTCATCATCCACTCCCCTCACAGCTCCTCACCTTTCCGAGTCTTTCTTGTGCATATCTTTGTGTTTTATCTCAGGTTAATTTCTTCTTTTTTTTACTTTAGCTTAGTTTTCTGTGTATCTATCACTAATTTGACCTTCAACTCCCACTAGAAAAATAAATATTTTCTTAATGTATTTTAAGTTCATCAGGCATTCTATCAATTCCATCTTCTTGGGTCACCTTTCCCAGAGCTACTTGACCTGTTCCAGTCTTAGCCGGCTGCTATTTTCGTTTGTTGTATAGCTTTTATTCTAGAAAATTTTTCACTATTTTTTTGTATTTCCATAATTTATGCTTGATGTTTGTTTCCTTGATTTTATGTACTCTTCTAACACCCTGTCCCTTTTTTATGAGCACATTTACAAAGAAAGGAAGCACGGAAGGTAAATGTGTTAAGATTTGGCACATCTGAACTTGTCTGTTGTACGCATTCACTTGGTTGAAATGCTGCTGGGTGTAAAATTCTAGGTTTAAAACTTTGAGAATTTTGAAGTCACAGCTCTATTTGGGAGATGGAATGGAAGAATGGTCCATATTTTTATCATATGTAAATTTACGTAATACTTCTGTTTTCCCCAGAGTACTTCTCTTTCCATTTTGCCTGATATCCACAGTACAGTTCTTTTGGTTTAAGATTTCCTAAGGGCAAAGGGGAAAGGAGATCTGTAGTCTAAGTGTTTCCCAAATGTACTCTGAAGCAATCCTGCTGAAAACAGTTCTTTTGCTCCATTTATGGAGGTTTGTAATACTACTACTCCTCAGCCTTTGGTGTTACACATTACTGGGTTGCTTCTCAGTTTCCCTCCATTAAATTAGGCTTCAGATTGCTTATGTTTACCAAGTTGCTAACACTGATAAGCCGCTTCCTACTTTTACTATTCCATCTTTATTGCCTCCTTTCTATGATTGTTGGTGTCTGTCTTTTAAAATTGATTCTTTTTTTGTCAGTATAGTGAAATTGAGAGGAAAGGGAAGTAATTTGTGAATTCAATCTGCCATGCCATCTTAAACAGAAACTCAATATAATTTGTGTCCTAAATTTTTTTATTTTAAAATGTTTCAAAGTTATATAAAATGTTCAGGAGTAATACAATGAACACCGTACCTTCATGTAGAAAAATCAATATAATCAATTGCCATATACGTACTACACCCTCCGTGTGTATGTGCGAGTATTTGTGTGTATATATTTGTATACACACATCAAACACATAGATACATATACATATATTATACATCTCTCTCTCCTTCCCTGTGTGAGTAAACTATTTGAAAGTAAATTGCAGACGCAAGATAGTTCATCCATAAAGATTTCAGGATCTTCTAAAATCAAAGAATACTATTTTACATAGCTGCAATACCATTATCACTCTCAAATATTTAATGTTGATATAATATTACATGATATATAGTCCCTATTTAGGTTTCCTCAATTGTCCCAATAATGTTTTATATATTTTTTAACCCAAGAGCCAAAAATGCAGCATTGCCCTATTTCTGTAATAAATGTTAGTTTGAACGTCACACCCTTCTTTTACGTTTCTCCTAATATTGACATTTTAAATAAGTACAAACCAGTTTCTTTGCAGAATGTCCTACAGTATGGATTTGTCTGATTTTTTCCTTATGATTAGATTCAAATTAAATATTATTAACAAGAATAGTATGTAGGTGATATTACATAGCTTTTAAAAAGCAAAAATTTACTATTGTTTTCATAGGAGATGAACAATATTTTATTGGCTTTCATAATATAAAAGCACAAATCAAACCATAACAAAGTACATAAACATTTATTTTACAGTTGTATCTATTTCAAATTACAATAAAGAGTCTTACAATAACTTTTTATTTGAAGCTAACTGGGATGCACTAAATAACCATCATATGTCCACTTTTATCCCCATTAAGCAGTGGTGCCTTTATGATTCTGATGCAAAATTGTAACTCAGTTTTCTCATTTTATGAAATATAAAAGTCGGAGTAGTCAAATTTTTATAGTCTCAGCTCTCAAATTTTATGAATCTATGAATAAGACATCACTTATAATTTTGAAAATGAAATAAATTTGAGGAAAGGTAAAATTATGAAACAAAATGTCTTATTAAAATGTTTATTATTTTATATAAATTGACAATAGATATAATACTTGTAATTATCTACATTTCCATATTTATGATTTATACTTGACACCATTGTAAGCTGTCCAACTCTACACCAATAATGGGTGACTTCGAAGTTCAGCTCACCTTACTCTACTCGCAACTAACTAAATTTGTGTAGATTATTTTACTTTAGAGCAAAGGTCAAAGGTTAAAAATCCATAATATAAGCTGGAATTCATTTTGACTTACTTGGCAATAAATAAAATCTCATATTGCTTATATTACAAAGGAGAAAATACTGCTATTAATTTTATAGGCAGTTATTGTATAACAGCTTCCATGTAAATGCATGTAGAGACTTTGTTATTTTTTTAATTTTAATGAATTAAATCACTTTAAAGATAGAATAACTGAAATAATATCTTTTCATTTTGATTGATTCCATTGAGTACATTTTTAAAAAATCATCAGCACCATTAGTACAATGGAAGTAACTGTAAATCTAAGAAAATTTGACTAGAAATGATGGTATTGCATTTTTTTCTTACAGGAAGCTCTGATCATGGCAAGTATGGATCATCCACACCTAGTCCGGTTGCTGGGTGTGTGTCTGAGCCCAACCATCCAGCTGGTTACTCAACTTATGCCCCATGGCTGCCTGTTGGAGTATGTCCACGAGCACAAGGATAACATTGGATCACAACTGCTGCTTAACTGGTGTGTCCAGATAGCTAAGGTAAGTGCCTGTCAATTTCTATGGGAATGACATTTTCAGGTTAATATTTCCTAACCTAGAACAGTTTTCATATTGAAAATATGTTGTCTTCCCATTTAAATAAAATAAAGTATATTTGCTACATTGAAATATACATAACAGACAGGTACTTTTAGGTAAACTACAGATTAAATGCATGATATATATTTTTAGATTATTGGGTTGTATAATTTTAATTGAATTGACTAGATGCCAAAACAAAGAGCTTGCTAGTCAGGGGGAGGAATTGTTATACTGGATTTATTTGGCTTATTTGTTTTGGTACAGTCTAGTTAACTGATAAAATCCAAGAAAGGGTTGAATGTCTGAATTTTTTCATATTTAGACGATTTTAAAAAATTGCCTGTGTGTTTAATTCTCAATATTACAAATGAGCAAAATCTAAATATATTCTTAGTCTTTTTGATGATTTTCAATTGGTCGTTAATGGTTGAGAGTTTTAGTCTTACACAAAGGCTTAGGCATGTCACATATATAAGGGCAGCGGTCTGGGGTGATGGGGGAGGTGGGTCTGTGGTTAACCAGAGAGCATCTACTAGTTTCTAGGGGACTGTGATTTGGGGAATATTACTAGAGTTATCTTATCTTTTAATTTTTTTAAGAGTGGCCAGAATTCTGGATTTTTTGTGATTTCCCAAATTTAAATCTTAAGTCAATTTTTGAAACACTTTGGAGTCTAAACAAAGCATTCTTGTCATGCAGTCTGCTAGTGCACAACTTCTAGTATACATTCTAAATGTTCAAAGCAAATATTTGTGATTATCTATACCATATATCTTTCTTGATAATTTTCTGTTTCTAGAGAAATAGGTCAATGATGAGTATTAATTGTGTCAACTCTTAGTTACATCCAAATACGACCCGAAGTCTTTTCAGATTCCATAGATATTTTTATCTACACATTTGTACAATATAAATGCCAAAATCATAACATAGTGGCTTTGACCTGTTTTTTTAATAATCTAATAATGAATAAAAGCACATTATAGAAAAAAGAAATTTGACGTAATTATTAAAATTTAAACCAAAAAATTTATTTGACAGAAAAGCTCAGCTTAGTTCTATACACCGTAACTCTCAGTAGAGTTTCCTTATGGACTATGTATTATAATTTTGTGACTGTTACGTAATAACTGCATCTGTGAGGATTCTTTATGGCAATGAAGTTTGAAATATAACACTTCAGAAACGGATTTATCTAAGAACTATAATTTATAAGGTGAGTTAAATATGCAATAGAATTTATCAAATCATTCTAGGACTGTAAATGAAAATAAAGCTAAGCTTCAGGCTGGGTGCAATGGCTGATGCCTGGAATCCCAGCACTTTGGGAGACCAAGGCAGGTGGATCACCTGAGGTCAGGAGTTTGAGACCAACCTGACCAACATGGAGAAACTCTGTCTCTACTGAAAATACAAAATTAGCTGGGTGTGGTGGCGCATGCCTGTAATCCCAGCTACTGAGGAGGCTGAGGCAGAAGAATTGCTTGAACCTGGGAGGTGGAGGTTGCAGTGAGCTGAGATCACACCATTGCACTCCAGTCTGGGCAACAAGAGGGAAACTCCGTCTCAAAAAACAAAAACAAAAACGCTAAGCTTCAAATTTGTTAGCGCTCTCTGTATTTTCTGCTGTGGTCTCTACAATTTAGGTTTTGTCCTTAAGGTTTGTGTTATTAATATATCATTTATACAACATTGTACACTCTAATACGATAAACTACTTTGGGTTTCCTGAATAATCACAGTTTTATACCTTTTTGCCTTTGCAAATGCCATCCCCTAAGCTTAGAAGTCTTCTCTTGGCTTCTTGGTTCACACTGCATGATCTTATTCATCCATCAACACTGTTTGGGCATCCTCCATTTATGGAGTCTTTCCTAATCAACCCTTCTCTGCAGGCAGAAGTAATTATTTTCTTTTTCGTATTAATTTTGGTAGTTGATATCTTGAACACATTTATATTATGTAAATGTCAACTATACATTTACTATCTCTCTGCCTATATGGTAAGCTTGTTTAGTCATTAATCTTCAACAGGTACTGGTGGTCTTTTATCATGTTTCAGATACGATGCTGACTGAGGTATGTAGGTGTAAACACTGCAGATATGGGCCTGGTTCTCTCTGTGCCCCCTAATGGATTGAACAGACATTCAACAAATGAAAGAATTAACTATAGGATTGAATACTGTGGTTCAGATTTTAAAGAAAGCCAACTGCTGGGGACACTTAAGAGAAGACACTGAGTCCTAAGGGAGAAGGCTTCAGCTATGAGAATAATATTTAGGCAAAAGAAAGATCACACAGGGCTCTACAGATGTGGTGATCAAGAGACTTATCACCCAAATGAAATAATTTTAGGCATGAAAGGAGACTGTATTACTAGTTATACCGGGATGACAGGTGCAGAAGAGTGCTAAACAGACCAGACCATGTTATATGGTTACCCAGTATAGCAAGAAAAGTTTGAATTTTATTGTAAGTGCTGTAGGTAGTTACTGAAGTATTTTAACATGCAATTGACATAATCTCATTTATATTCTAAATAGATCATGCTAGTTTATGTATGGAGGTTAGATTGAGGCGATATAAGAATGAAAATGAAGATACTAATTAGGAATCTGGAGGCAATGCCAATAAGGAGAAGTAGATGGAATTAAGATATATTTGGGGGGCAAAATTTAAGGTATTCAATTATTGATTAGCTGTAGGTGGTGAGGGAGGGGAGTATGGTGAGATCATTTCCTGAGGTGCTGAAGGATGGGGGGTGAACATTTGTAGGAAAAAATCAAGAGTTCAGTTTCAGACTTGGCACATTGGAAAAGTTTATAGAACATGAAACTGGGAATGTTAATGAGGTAATTAAATTCGGTCAGTACGGTATATATACATTTAGGAATTATAGGTATTTAAATATATGGAAAGATGAAGGATTACCTTGAGACTGACTATATCTGATTCTTATTTATTACCGGAACCTAAAATTGGATCTTACTTACAGTTAGTCATTCAATAAATATATAGTAATTATTTTTAACCCAAGAAAATAACAAAATTTACCCTTAAGCAGGGAGTCCTTCCTTTATTATTTCTTTCTACTTTGCGAGCAGAATTGTGAAGTGGAATCAGACTTAAGGTTAGAAACACTATATTTATATGTTGGTGCCCACTTTTAAGTTTTGTGAATTTGTGTTGTTTAGCCTCTGAATTCTTGTTTCTCATTGTATATGGTGGTATTAATAATTACTATATTTTTTTCTTATCTGCACAAAGAACATAATAAATGGTATCTACCTGTGGTAGGCTGAATAATATCCCACCCCCAAAGATGCTAATACATTCTATCCCCAGAATCTGTGAACGTTGCTTTACATGTTAAAAGGGATTTTGCAGATGTAATTAAATTAAGGATCTTGAGATGAGATTTTCCTGGATTATCCAGATCGGCCCATTGTAATCACAGGGGTCTTTGTAAATGGAAAGCAGGAGGATCAGAGCAGGAGACAGGAGACATACAAACAGATCAGAGTTGAGCGGTGCACCTTGAAGATGGAGGAAGGGACCATGTGTTGAGGAATGTAGGCACCTCTAGAAGCTGGAAAGGATAAGCACACAGACTCTCTCTTAGAATCTCCAGAAGAAACACAGGCCTGCCTGTACCTTGATTTTATAGCCTGGTGAAATTGACGGTGGACTTTCAACCTACAGAGCTGTAAGAGAATAAATTTGTATTGATTTCAGCCACCTTTCACCCTAAAGTAGGCTCCAGTGTATGTTTCCCTCCATGTATCCATGCTTTCTCATCATTTAGCTTCCCCGTATAAGTGCTAACGAGTGGTATTTGGTTTTCTGTTCCTTGTTAGTTTGCTAAGGATAATGGCCTCCAGCTCCATCCGTGTCCTCCCTGCAAAGGATATGACCTTCTTCTTTTTTATGACTACATGGTATTCCAAGGTGTATATGTACCACGTTTTCTTTATTCAGTCTACCATTGATGGGTATTTAGGTTGATTCTGTGTTTTTGCTATTGGGAAGAGTGCTGCAATGAACATACTTGTGCATGTGTCTTTATAACAGAATTATTTATATTCCTGTGGGTATATACCCAGGAAGGTGATTGCTGGGTTGAATGGTACTTTTGTTTTTAGTTATTTGAGGAAGTGCTAGACTGCTTTCCACAGTGGTTGAACTAATTTATGCTCCCACCATACAACAATGTATAAATGTTCCTTTTTTCTCCACAACCTCAACAGCATTCTGATTGGTGTGAAATGGTATCTCTTTGTGGTTTTGATTTGCATTTCTCTAATGATCAGTGATGTTGAGCTTTTTTTCATATGCTTGTTGGTCGCATGTACAACTTCTTTTGAAAAAAAAGTCCTTTGCTCAATTTTTAATGGGGTTCTTTTTTTTCTTGTCTATTTGTTTAAGTTCCTTATAGATGCTAGATATTAGATCTTTGTCGAATGCATAGTTGGCAAAAATTTTCTCCCTTTCTGTAGGTTGTCTTTTCACTCTGTGGATAGTTTCTTTTGCAGTGAAGAAGCTCTTCGATTTAATTAAATCCCACTTGTCAATTTTTGTTTTTGTTGCAATTCCTTTTGGTATCTTCATCATGAAATCTTTGCCCATGCCTATGTCCTGAATGGTATTGCCTAGGTTGTCTTCCATGTTTTTTATAGTTTTGGGTTTTACATTACAATCTTTAATTTATCTGGAGCTGATTTTCGTATATGATGTAAGGAAGGGGTCCAGTTTAAATCTTCTCCATATGGCTAGGCAGTTGTTATTACAGCATCATTTATTAAATAGGAAATCTTTTCCCCATTGCTTGTTTTTTGTCAGTTTGTCAAAGAGCAGATAGTGGAAGGTGTGCAGCCTTATTTCCGGGTTCTTTCTTCTATTCCATTGGTCTATGTGTCTGGTTTTGTACCAGTGCCATGCTGTGTTGGATACTATAGC